AATGTTCATAAACAATATCTCACATAGGATGTCATTGTGTTTGAATACTGCTGTGGTGTAGGAAACGATGAGCTGGTTGATTTAGAAAAACATGGAAAGAGTTGGACCTATGAAGGAAGATGCTATCCACCTTCAGAAAAAGAGATGACAAGTGGAAATATGCATAATGTGGTCTTATATATATGTGTATGAGTGTATATGTATAAATATGGGTATGTTTATAGATATCCACGTTTGATTGTGGTGGGAGGGATGCAGGGTAGAGGAATAGGGAGAGTAAAAAGTACACAGCAGAGAACAAAAGAAAACTTACAAGGAAGCAAAGAAAAGATGGGTAGCTCTGAAAACAATGTGTAGTATATATTATATAGGTTTTCATTAAATGGAAATTTATTATTTTATATTAAATCCTCTCCTGTGTTCTGCTGTGTCCATGGCAATGGTTTTTCCCCCTCATTTGGTATTTAAGTTTAAAATGATTTTTTTTAATAGAATTTAAAAAAAAAAGAGTTGAAAAATTGAGCAACCTGTCAATCTATAAAATAGTCTCAGAGAAATTGAGGTCCAGTGGAGGTAATACATCAAAAGCCCCTACTGTCCCATACACAGGTCATACTCTCTGGTTAAAAAGATAAGTGAGTCAGTCAAATAGACTCTAAGAACGGCCAGTTCCAAACATGAGATGGATTGTTACAGCTAGACAATAGCTTACATGGAGAAGATCCACAGAATGATTCAGATGAAGAAGTTTCATATTAGTTTTTTCCTGAGTCAAAGAAATCATAAAAGACCAAACCAGCCAAGGGAAATCTCTACCAAAACAGGATGAAGTGGCTGAATCCCTTTCCTGTCCCTGTCCAGGGGAATCTAAAGAGAGATTCAGATTTGCGATATAACACTCAAATTGGGATACAAGGTATATGGAAGGGAAAAGTTGGTCATAAGTAACTAGGGAAAAGTTGGTCATACGTTAACTAAGAAAAAGTGATTATTGAAGCCAAAGGTTTCAGATCAAAATATAACAAATAATAAGTCTAACTTGGTACTGAATTGTTGGCTTACAGCTCTGGCTGTCTAGGGAAAAGACTGGCTTTAGAGGCTAGGTTAGTAGGAAGAGGAGCTCTAGAGGGGAGAGAAGAAAAAAAGAGGATTGGAAGGAGGCAGTTCTGATTAGATCCCTGCAAGAGCAAAAAGCCTTGTCAATCATTACACTGAAAATAAAAGATGAATAGGGCACAGTCCCTGCACTCAAGAAAGTTATGTAATAGTAAGTCACTGTATAAAGATCCAAGGATCCAAAAAAGGGGACATATCTTAGATATGGGAATGAGAATAGAAAGTATCACTGACTAAAACTAAAAATAAATCAGAAAAAAAAAATGGGAAAACTCAGTAATTCAATTCAGCAAGTATTTATATTTGTAAAGAATGAAATAAAAAAAAAATGACTGATAAGATATGGTGCTATAAAGTCTAAGGTGCTTCTTTCATCTAAGAAAAGGGTCTAAAACATCCTTCTTAAAAGCTATTTAAAAGGGCAGCTGGGTGGTGCAGTGGATAGAGCTCTGACCCTAGAGTCAGGAGGACCCGAGTTCAAATCCGACCTCAGACACTTGACACTTACTAGCTGTGTGACCCTGGGCAAGTCATTTAGATATACATTTTTGGAGAGGGCTAATATGAGAATTTGTTTTGCTTGATTACATATTTGTACAAGGTATTTTTTTTTCCTATTCTTTTTCTCCATAACTGGGGGTGGGAAGGAGACAGGCACTGAGCTTATCAATAGCTTCCCTCCCCCCCCACAAAAAAAGAGAAATTGAAGCATTCACAAATGCACAGAAAAGACTAAAATGCCAAAATCACATGATAAGACACTTTGATATTTTTAATGTATATGTGTGTGTCTTGTGTGTAACGCAAATTGTATATAATAGATTCAGTTTCAGGTATAACCATTTTCTGTGTTATGTATGTAGCAATGCTCATTTTATGTGACATTTGCCAAGTTCATAATTTTCTTTTTTTGGGGGGGTGGTTAGGCAATGGGGTTAAGTGACTTGCCCAGGGTCACACAGCTAGGAAGTATTATGTGTCTGAAGCCGCATTTGAACTCAGGTCCTCCTGACTCCAAGGCCAGTGCTCTATCCACTGTGCCACCTAGCTGCCCCCTAAGTTCATAATTTTCAAAAATGAATTTTACAAAAAAAGATATATTTTTTCCTAACTTCATAGACATGGAATTATATCTTCTCTATTATACAGCCACCATCCTAGTTCAAGTCCCCTGCATCTCTTGCCTGTAATATTGCAATAGCCACCCATTTGCTTTCTCTGCCCCCTCCTACTATTCTAATCCATTCTTCATTCAACTGCCAAAGTGTTTTCCTAAAGTATATACTGGAAGTCACACTCAATAAACTCCATTGGCTCCCTATTACCTCACAGATCAAATATAAACTGTTTTGTTTGGCATTTAAAGCTTCTTACCTTTCCATTCTCATTAATAGTTTACTATTTTCCACACATCGGCTTTCCTTTCATACAACACTCCATCTTTTGTCTCTCTGCTTTTGCATTTGCTGTTTTCCATACCTGGAATGCTTTCCCTAGGCAGTGATGTGGCGAAAGGGAATAGAACAATGGGCCTGGAGTGAGGAAGAACTGAGTTCAAATCTAGCCTCAGAGACTTAGTAGATGTGACCCTAGGCAAATCACTTAACCTGCCTGACTCAGTTTCCCCACCTTTAAAATGGGGATAATAATAATTAATGCATACTTCACAGGATTGTTATATAGACCAAATGTGGTATTTGTAAAGTGTTTAGCACAGTGCCCAACACATAGTAGGTGCTTAATAAATACTTGTTTCCCTTATTCAAGTCATGCATGAGCTTATATTACTGTACAACCCTTGAAGACTAATCTGCAATCAATTCATTTGTATTTTATCTTTTGTGTTTATTTTAAGAGTTACTAGTAATACATCAGTCCTGGATTATTACTTGTTGATGTTGTACTCTGAAATCATGGAGCACAATAGCTGTGTGACTTTAGATTGGTTACTTAAAATCCCTGAACCTCAGTTTCCTCAGTTGTAAAATAAGGATAATAATGTTTGCATTATGTATCTCACAAGGTTGTTAAGAGTCACAAATCAGGTAATAGATATAAGGTATTGTTAATCATAAAGCATTATATGTATTTATAAAAAATAAATAAATACTTGTTTCCTATCAACTTACTACTATTAGAATCTCTGACTTCCTTCGAAACTCAGCTCAAATACCAACTCCTCCAGAAAGACTTTCCTGGTTCCCCCAACAAGTGCTATCCCCTTTAAATTACCCTTTATGGCTTAATCTCTTAAGTACTGACATTTATGTATATATTTAAATATATGCATATTTTCTCCCCCATTACAATGTTACGTTCTTGGGGACAAAGACTATTTTTCTAACTCCAGCACAGAACATTCCTGACATAGTAGTTAATAAATGCTTAATGACTAGCTATTTCTTACATGACATTCCATCTTTCTGTCTTTGCACTAGCTGTGCCCCATACCTGTAATGAATCCCCCCTCACTTATTCCTCTTAGAATCTCTTATTTCATTCAAGACTTAGTTTAATCACCACTTTCTCCATAAAGTTTTTCCTAAGCATCCAAGTTGCTAGCACCTGCCCTTGCCAAAGTACTTTGTATTTAGTCTGTGTATACATATAGGTGAACACATTGCCTCCCTGGACTTTAAGTAAGCTCTTTGAAGGGGCTATTCAGTTTGATTCCCTAAGAGCTGAAGTAAAGTAGGTAACTAATAAACGCTGATGGATTTCTAAGTTTATTCCACACTACACCCCTTGCATCTGTACTTTTGAATTATATTAGGCTATCAAATAATTTTAAAACGAGTACTCCTTCAGGGCAGGAACTATTTTTTACCTTTCTTTACATTCTCAGAGCTTTGCACAGTTCTCACTATATAATAAGCATTAGATGAAAAGCCTGTCTACTGATTGAATGAACAAGACCTTTTTCATACTTGGAATGTACTTGTTCAATTGTACCTCAAATAATCCTTGACTTCCTTCAACAGTCAGCTCACCTTGTTAATGAAGCTTTCTCTACTCTTCCCCTTCCAGTTATTGACTCTCTTCCTCCTGAATTTTATTTGTGTATGTATTATATCTTCCCCAAGAGAATCTAAATTCCACCAAAAGAGGGGCTATTTCATCTTTATTTTTTAATCACCATTATTTAGCACAATGCTTTGCACATGATAATAATTAGTATTTATTGAATTTAAATGGAACTGAATGTTATTAACATATTCTGAAACAAAAAAATCCTACCATTTCAATCTTCAATTAAAGAAAATAACTTTTTTCATTATCTAGACTTGATTTTTTTAAAAAATCTAGCCAAAAACTCCACTGTTACCTTTAGAATACTATTCAGATTAAAAACCATAGCTCTTACATTTCAGAGTCATTACAAAATTATGTACACATGACAGTTTGCAAACAGCATTTTAAAACTATATTCATTATTAAAGATGTAACAGCACTCTATAACTCAAGAACTATTGAAAGCATGATACCTAGCATAATTCTGTTATTTGAGGGTAAAATATAAGTAGAAATACAGACAACCAAGGCAAATGTAGCATTGCCTCAACTGCTGTGTACTGGAAAAAAGATACAAAAATCAGCTGGGCAGTTGCTTTGCTTTTTTTCCCCAAAAAAAGTTGCTTTTTCCAAAATAGTACACATTTCAATTGGCTATTGTTAGATTATTTAACCAATAACAATTTAAAGAAAAGGGGAAAAAATGCATGATTAGATCAACTACTTTCCCTCTGACAAAAACAAATGTCCTTCATTTTATTAACATTTTGTTGTTCTGTCCATTTTACTAAAGACCATGCCATGTATATTAAGAAAAAAAAAAAAACAAGACACATGAGGGAAGTTTGAAAATATTTATATATTATGTACACAAAATAGAATGTTTGTAATTCCAAATACACAAAAAAAGTGACTCCCAGGAAAATGGTCCACCTATACAAGAATGTTATGTATGCACATATAGTTTTTTACTTTTCTGGTCTTTCACTTTTTATCTGAGTGAAAAGAAGAATGCTTCTCTCATTCAGGAGATTTTTTATGTTGTAAAAATTACCTAGAAGTAAAATAAGGAAAATATGGTAATATTATGAAATTTCCTTCTTATTAAATTAAATAAAAACTCATCTTACTTTGATTAGCCTTTTTTATATACTTAAGAATATATGCCAATAAATAACTTTAATCTGCTTAATTCTAATAAACAGGATCTCAAAGGATCATATATCTACAAATGAAGGGGAACTTAGCAGCTACCAGATCAAAGCCCCTCATTTTTCAGGTGTAACTTGAGACAGGAAGAAGTGACTTGACCAGAGTCAGCCAGTACCTGAAGCAAAATTTGAACGTAGGTCTTTCTAACTCCAAGTCCAATGGCCTATCTATTGAACCACATTGCCTCTCAAAAGCAAAAATTTCTAGCACCCAATCACTCCTCGATAGTCTCCCATACAAGTAATAGTCAGGCCTGACCCTGCTTAGTTTCTGAGATCAGCCAAAATGGAATGCACTCAGGTTGACATGGCCTTAGAAAAGGAAAGCCCTTCGAAATTCAAAGACTTAACCAATAGTCTTAGGACAGCAAAGGTCACATTGGGCTGACAAATACTTTTTGGATTGCTCATGCAAGTAGATAATCCTAAATTATCCTGGATAATGGAAAATAACAAAAATCAGGTTCATGCTGAGTGCGTTATATAATACCAGAGCAAGAGCCCTGTGTTATATACATACTGGGGTAATTTACACATTATGAAATAAAATGTTGTTTTTAATAGTATATACATGTGTATTTATATGTATACATATATAAAATTATATATAAATATATATATATTTGAGGCAGAGTAACAAAAAGGTAAAAATAAAGCATGAAAAGCAATTAAGCATGACCGTATCAGTTCTTCATAAATTACTAAAAGCAATTATAGTACTCCTTCTGTTTGAGGACTCCTCTAACTTTTTCCATGCTCAATGTTCATTAACAATCATCATTTTCTCCGTGTATATTTAATATATACCAGGCTATTTAGTTCCTATTTAGTATGGCTTTTAACTCTACTGTGTTCTTATATAAACTCTAAAAGTGATGGCAAATGTTACAATTGCTTTGAAATCAATTCTGTTTAAATCTTACCTGAAGGAACATAGAAAATATCTCCAGTAGTTAAATTGTAAGATGTCTCATGTAAAGTACATATAAGATCACCACAGACAATAAAGAATACCTGTAAAATATAAAATCAAATCTTCTTTTAATTAGAATTTTTAAAAATATACTGGGTTTTTTTTTTTTTTGGTTAGGCAATGGGGTTAAGTGGGTTGCTCAGGGTCATACAGCTAGTACGTGTCAAGGATTTGAACCAGGTCCTCCTGACTCCAGGGCCCATGCTCTATTCACTGTGCCCCCTAGATGCCCCGAAATACTGTTCTTATAGTAAACATATACAGTAAAATCTTTCTTCTTAAATTTGACCTGATTTGCTCCTCAATTGTTCTTTTCAGGATTATCATAATTTTAATTTTATGCACTTCTTCAGTTCAGTCAAAATAAGAGCACTAATAACACAGAATTATTACATTTAAGAAAGTGCTAAGACCCTGATATAGCACCACCATCAAATTAATCAAAACATTATTCACAATGGATTCCATATAAAGGCACACAGAATTCCACACAAAACCTAGAAACACTTGGTATTTGGATAGCATCTTGCTAATTTAAATCAGGCCCTCTCATACCCAAGGAACCAATAGCTACATTAAAAAACCTCGACAAAATATATCTATTTAAAATTTTAAGCTAAAGGCACCAAAAGCTTTTATATGCTAGAACAATTATATAAATGTTTCTGAAAGGATCAGAAGGCTGGCTAAAGTGTTATTTTTCACACTGCATCTGAAAAGAAATTTGCCTCTACAGACTAAACAAACGGCATTCACTTGGCCAAAAAGCATACATTTCTTATTGTTTTTCATGTCCAAAAAATGAGAAATCTAACACTTCTACATATGTTTGTAGCCATTATCAGGTAGATTCATGTAAGTTTAAATGTCATTTATGGCAGGCCTACATAATTATTAGACTGAAATGCTGCTTATTTTACAAAGAAAATAGCATTATATTTAATATAGGCCCTGATGTAGATTTAATACTCTTAAAAGAATGTTTTTAAATAATCCACACATTCTTTTATTAAGGGGATCTGTTCTGTGAAGTTTGGATTCAGTCAAAGAGCTGCACTTGAGGACGTAGAGGGCCCACATTTGGCTTCAAGGGCTCAGGTTTCCCACCCCTGATCTAGATAAATCACATCTTAACAGAAATTCCTTGATCCATCACTCTATTAAAGTCTTTTGAAAAAAAAATTCATTTGACATGACCTATCCTTTGAAAAAAGAAAATTTTACTTTACCTTCATTAACAAATATATCCCATCTATACTACTCTCCTTCCCCATAGAGCCGCCCCTTTTTTCAAAGAAAAAACAAGGAAAAAAGCACCTTAGCCCGAGCCTAACCAGATCTGCCATATTTATGAGATAACAATGTATTTAATGTGTCACATCCACTGTCCTCAAGTTCTGCAAAGAAAGGAGAAGCATTTTCTCATCTCTCCTTTGGGCCAAGCTTGGTAACTATACTAAGTTAGCATCACATTTCATTTTTTTGCATTGTTGGTTGTGTATATTGTTTTCCTAATTCTGCTCACTACACTTTCTATCAGTTCATTGTCTTCCAATACTTCTCAATATTTTTAACATTCATCTTTTCTTACAGACCAGTGATAATTCATTATATTCACGTACCACAATTTGTTCAACCATTCCCCAAAAGACTACTCTGTTTCTAGTTCTATGCTATTACAAATAAGTGCTGCTATATATATTTTGGTGCAAACATAATATTTGTTGGGTTTTTTTTTTAAATCTCTTACTTCTTTAGGGGTATATACCTAGCAATGGGAATGCTGGGTCATAGGCCATGATCTATTCTTTTTTTTTTTTTTTTTGGTGAGGCAATTGGGGTTAAGTGACTTGCCCAGATCACACAGTAAGTGTTAAGTGTCTGAGGATGGATTTGAACTCAGGTCCTCCTGACTCCAGGGTCGGTGCTCTATCCACTGCACTGCCTAGCCACCCCCGCCATGACCTATTCTTTATGAAGCCATATTAGTTCAATAACCTTCTTAAAATTTTATAGGAACTGAAGGCAACCTCATTGATATAGGGCTTGCAAATTCTATTCTCTTCCCTTTTTGAAATAGTGGAACATATATGTTCATTATCATCATTGTTATTATTATTCAATACATACGTGTGCGTGCGCACACACACACACACACACACACACACACACTTCTGATCAAGATCCCAGACCTTCCTGAAATCTATTTTTCCTTGGGATCCACAAATCCCAGGTTAAAAACTCCTGCTCTTGAAGAACTGGGGAAGAATTACATAAGAAGTACACAGAATAAGAAAAACAGATAAGCTGTAATTTACAATGGTGGAGTGAAGCGCTACATTTATGAGATAGTATATTTGAAGAATTAAGAGCTAAACACCAAAGATATTGAGGACAAAAAATTTGGAGATTAATAGAGGAAAAGTACAATATGGGAAGTTTGAATAGATTTTTAGTAAAAGATGAGAGGAATCATATCATGTCAAGTCATTTGGAGGAGGTGGGGAAAGGTCAGTCACCATATGGATAAGGTAAATTGGCCTGCCTAAAACAATTTATTAAGTTAACCTAAAGAAATAGCACAGTATGTACAAAGTGCAGCAATTCATGGATTGCTCAAGAGCACAAAACTGAACTGCAACTTAGAATTATTTACATACCATAGACTTCCTCTGCCTAGGTCCCTTTCTCTATCTCACCTTTTCCCTACTGATTCTTAAATTCCCCAAGATTTTTAAAGCATAACTGAGCATTTCCTTGTTTACTGAAAGAAATCTAAATTCCTTTTAATAGCTCACATTCTTTACTTATTTATCTGAACTATTCACTGGAGTCAGACCAGTTTTCCGAACTACTATATTTATTTATTGTCCTTCAAGTTTCATCTCTAAGAACTTCTAGGATGATTTGGTTTATGTAGACGTCATACCAACTTTCTGCAATTTTAACTCTCCCTCCATTGTTTCATAAGGCAACACTGCTCAAATGTTCCACTATCCTTTTTCCTTTGAAAACCAGGTTATATTCTAAATTGGTGTTGCCATGTTGCTCCATTTAGAAAGATCAAATTTTTCTGGTTAAGGCAGTCTGTGGGCTTCTTAGGCCCCCTCATTGTTGGAACTGCCATATACCTGTTTAACTTCTGTAAAAAAAGGTGAGTCTGTGTCAAAATTTTTTTCTTTATCTCCTATTTTCAGCATCAATAACTTCTTTTGTATGTCGGGTTACAACTTTTGTAATAGGATGCTATAGCTTTACATGTTTATACTTCCTTCTAAATTAGTGTTGATTTTTACCCTTGTTCCAAAAAGTTAATGATAAAACTGGCCCACTGACTGTTTTTTAAGAAATGACTACTATATTGGTCAGAAGTGATTTCCTATCTATTAAGATACAATCATTTCCATTTTTTATGATTCTGTTCAATTCCTTATAGATAAAACTATGTTTCATAGTTGTTTTCAATCCTGTAGCACAGCACTAAGCATGTCAGAAATATTTGTTGGTAGGTTGGATTGACTGTAAACAAAAAACCTCACTACATTATAGTTGATCTTATAAATAGTTATTTGGTGTTTTATCAAGCTCATTACAATTGGCAACCTATAATACAAAGAAATACAAGGAGAAAATAGATACTCACCACTGTATCTGAACAGACATACTGTTTTCCTTTTTCTTTAAAGGGCTCCAAGATCAATGTGCCAGTGGCAAACAATGAAGTATTCAAAATTTTAAACATTTTCAATGTGTCATCCTGAACACAAAATTCATGTGTACCTTTAAGCTTCACAAGGTCTAAGGGGAAAGAAAGATATATGAATTACATAAAGTATACTAAAGAAGTAGGATGGCATAGTCAGTGGATACAGCATTCCATCTAGAGTAAGAGGATCTGGGTTCCAATCTCAGTTCTGTTACTAACTTCCTGTGCAACCTTACACAAGATACTTCACCACTCTGACACTTTCTTCTTCTATAATAAGGAGCATGGACTAAATTAACTTTAAAGTCCCTTCCAGATTTAAATCCTATGACCACTTACTAGCCATATGACCTTGTGGAAGTCAGCTCAATTGAGTACCTGTCTGCATTAACCATCATATACTTCTCCTACTTTTTCCCTTAACTGTCACTCAAATTGCAATCTCCAAATGTTGAAATATCTTTGAGACTCAAGATATTGACCAGAAAATGTTCAAGTAGATATAGAGTTATATCTCTTCATTTCATCTTAAGTTCCTAGGGTTCAATGATTTCTCTTTTATCCATAGACACTTCTAGATACATAACTTGATCAATATGAATAAAACCATGCAGTAAAGTTAATAAAGTCAGACGTTGATAGGTTCATGGTTTCATGAATATGCAGATTCTTTTCAACAGGGTAGATCAAAACACATCTATAACTTCTTAATTCTAAATCAGATTTTCCCTTAAGTCCTCCATAGTGTACTTACTCAACATACAGAGTCTTTGCTCTAGATTTTAGTACCTGCAGATACAAGTAAAGCATTTATATTGTCTGTTTTTTCATTTCTTCTAAGTGATTGCTTCACTTCCTTTTCCAATCGTGTATACAAGTTACTTTTTGCACGATCATTGGTATTATGCCACACTCTACTCTTACACATCTCTCTGCTGCCTTTGAGTCACCCTAATTTTTATTCTTTAGAGGTTAAACAAGTAATCTTGAAAGATCTTATCTTATTCGTGGGAGACACTCTACTAGAGAAGAGTTGTAATGCTTTACCCAAAGCAAATGCTTTTTCATATATCACCAATTAAAAGAATGAAGGTTTGTATTCTGTGTACCTTTCATTCAATTTGTGACTAAGAAAATGGTCTACTTGAAGAAATGTTTAATGAAGTCTGCCCAATTCCTTTTCATTTTTCAGTCCCTTCAGTCTTTGATCATCACTCTTGATCTAACTGTGGCTATAACCCATGGCATTGTCCTGTAGTTCCTTCTCTTCCCTCCTCTTCCGAATGATCAACCTCATATCATAGTAAAATATCATAGACTTAAATCTGAAGATTACAGATTCAGAACTAAAAAAACTTTAATAGCTACCTAATCCAAAGTCGTCATTTTACAGATGAAACACTAAGCCAAAAATGTTAAGTAACTTGCTTATATTCTTTAGCCTCATTCATCCATCTGAGGTCCAGGCACCCATCATCAACGTCTATTGGCTACTTCCCCCGTCGGATAGGTTAAAGTAGTATTACCCAACATAAAGAGTGCTAGTTTTATTTTCAGAGAACCTGGTTTCACACCCTAGCTCTGCATAGCTGTATGAGTTTATTTAGGTAAAATCTCATCTATAAAATAAGAGATGGACTAGAAGACCTCAAAGGTTCTTTCTAGGTCTTAATCCATGATCCTCTACTACTAAGGTATCTCAAACTCAATATGTCTAAAATAACTCATCATCTTTCCCTCCAAATCCAACTCTTTTATACTACCTTTCTTATTTTTACCAAGGGCACCATCCTTCTAGTCATGCAAGTTCACAACTAAGGGGTCATCTTCAACTTTTCAATGTCCCTCACTCCTTATATCTAATAATCAGTTATCAAGTTCTGCTGATTCTATTTTTATAATATCTCCACATCTATTTATTGTCTTCTCTCCACTCACCATTCTAGTTAAAGGTTCTTATCTCCTTACATATGGACTAATGCAACAGCTTCCTCACTTGGTCTCCCTGCCTCAAATCTCTCTGCTTCCCAATCCATTCCCCAGTTTCCAAAGTGAAACACCCAAAATGCAGGTCTGCCTGTGTCACTCACCTGTTCAAAAAGCTCCAACAGCAAAAATAAACTCCTCTGTTTGTCATTTAAAACCCTTCACAATTTGATACTAGCCAATTTATTACTTATTATTTACCTTCATGCATTCTATGTTCCAGCCAAATGGGTCTACTTACTGTTCTTCACACACAACACTCCATCTTCCATCTCCATTCTTGAAATGCAATCCGCTGCTCACCTCTGCTACTCAAAATCCCTACCTCTCTACTAAGCTCAGCTGTCTCATGTACCTGGAATGTTCTCTCTCCTCACCTCTATCTCTTAGTTTCCTTGGCTTTCTTCAAAAATAAGCTCATCCTACCTTCTGCAAGAGGCTTTTTGCAGTTACCTCTACTGTTAATCCCTTACCTCTAAGATTACCTTCAACTTACGCTGTGTATATATTTATATGCAAATGGTTATTTACATATTGTCTCATTAGAATATGAGTTTCTTGAGGGCAGGAACAGCATTTTTGGTTTTCTTTGTATCTCCCAGGAAATAGTGCCTGGCACATAGTATGCACTTAATAAATGCTTGTTGGGTGACTGATGAATGACTGAATAATGAAAAATGTCATACCAGTAAAATAAATCAGAAGTTAGTCTTGATGTCTATTCAACATCTTACCCCTAAAAACCATTTGTTCTCTTCCTGGGTCGAATACACAAGTTGGTTTTAAAGGATCTCCAAGAGATACATTCAGAGCAGCAATTGCTTTCTTTTCTGAAAAAATATCACAAAAATACATAGCAAATACTTAACACTGGCAAGTTAATGATGCAGTCAGATACAATTAATTTCAAATTATAAAGAATCTTATTATGGAAGACTACAATAACTATAAGAAGAGCTCAAAACAAAAGTAACCTTTTAAAATTCCAAGTGCTCAGTCTGAAAAAAAAAACTATTTAAATCCTCTTCTCAAGTATAGTACATTAGAAAGATCACTGTACTGGAACCAGAAAACTTGTATTTTAGTCCTGACTCTCCATCTGGCTAACTAAATGGCCTTGGGTAATTCCCTTAACTTCTCTAGACCTTAATTTACTTAGCTGTAAAATGAGATAATTTGATATGATGATCTCTTAAAAATCACTTCCAGCTCCAAAATTCCATGATTTTTTTTTATGGTACCAAAAATGAAAATATTTTTGTTAAGAATAAGATAAAAAGAATGGGCTAAAATGAAAAGAGTAATACCGTTTGAACTTTCCAAATTATCTTTAAAGATTTTTTTAATATTACAAATAGTGTTATTTTAATTCCTTGCAAATGAGATACAGCCCACAAATATAAATGAAAATCAAAAAAACAAAAATGGAACATAACTCTTATCTGGCAACCTCAATTATTAGAAGAAAGTTAATGAAAATTGGATGGTAAAAAGAATAAACATGAAGAGTCAAAATATATGTCACAAAGACCCTACACTAAAGCTCAAATTCATAGGAAAAACCTCTTAAGCCAATTTTTATTTACTTTAGACACCATTCTAATAAGATTGTTTATCTGGTTTCCCAGCCCATAGTAGATTAGATGCTGTAGATTAACGGGAAGAAGGGAAAATGAGTTACTGCTGGAAGCAAGAATACTGGCAGGGACAAGAAGTGTAATCTTACAAACTGACAATAAGGGAGAAAATAGGAAAAGTTCCAATCTAGAGCCATTTAGTGCCTTAATAGCTCCTATCGACAAACACAGTATAAGGACTGAAATTTATAATCATGAACCTGTGTTATCAAAAACCATTTAAATTATGTTCAATATGCCTCTTAAGCAAGGACAAGTATAATACATTTGCAAAAGTTTTAACCAAAAGGTGCTAAAAGTTTTTATACTTACAGGGATTAAATTATGTAGAAATTCATCTACATGGAAAAACTTACACCTTGGCAACAAATGACATGTGACAGTAGTATCAGAGATGGAAAGGACCTTTGAAATGATTCTAGTATATTCACTTCATTTTACAGTTGAAGCAACTGAGGCTCAGAGAAGATTCAGAGTTGTAAAGTTCTAAGGGTTCATAGGTTCATAAACTTAAGAATTGAAAGTAATCTTAGAGGTCATCTGGTCCTTGCAGCTCTCCCCAGCTTGGATAGGTGAGCTAGGAATTGGGCCACCATGACATTTTCTGCAATCTCCACATCATGCCTCTTCATAACTTCTTTTCCTTTCCATTCCATTCCCATCCCAAGGCCCCTTTATATGTACCATCTTTCCCCATTATAATGGTAGCTCCTTAAAGGCAGGAACTATGTTGTTGGCTTTTAAAGGTATCCCTAGCACTTAACATAATTCCTGGCACATACTAAGCAGTTAATAAATGTTTTGTCTGTTTATCTACCCACCTATCTACCAGCTAGTGCAGGTATTCTTAAATTCTGTGTCACTAACCCCTTCTAACATTCTAGGGAAGCCTAACAGACCACTTCTCAGAATAATGTTACATGTCTAAAACAGGGGATTCCAAAGGAAAACAATTATAAAATATAATTATCAAAAGAGTTTTAAAAGTAAGTTCACTGGACTAAAGGTTACAAACCCTTGACCTCAACCAATTTAAAGATAAAGAAAGTGAGGATAATAGAGATTAAGTGACTTGGTCAGGGTCAAGGTATTAAGCAACAGGTTTAGGAAGCAAACCCATGTCCTCTGACTCCAAACCCAGCATTCTTCACATTTTATGACGCTATCTTCTCACATATTCTCATCTTCTCTTATAAGGAAAGCCAAAAAAGTCATAAGTGGCAGAGCAGAATTTCAAACCCAAATCTTCTGACCCTAAATCCAGCAACCTTTCTATTATACAATTATTTAAAAAAGGGGAAGAAGAGAAGTGAATAAGTATTTATATTGTACCTTCTAGGTGTCAGGCACTCTTCTAAGAGCTTTAGGCACTGTGCTAATTACTCCTAAAAGGTTAATGGGTATATTTCAAAATATTCAAAATAATTTTTCAAAGCTCTAATATTACATATCAAAATAAAACAAAAATACCCAAAAAGTTCAAGCAATTAAGGTCATACTTTGTTCATCTTCATAAGAATCTGTATTAACTTTTTCCCTTTTTCTGTTAGACTTCTTTCTGGGTGAAACTCTGTCATTACATATTGTCCCATTGACCACAAGTCCACCTAAAATAAACAAGGAAGGTTAATCATTAATTTCAACCTCAGTCCTCACTATGTAATTCTTACAATTACTTGTAAAATAGGACTAAACGATTTTTATTGTCTAAAGTCACCAAAATGTCAGAAGGAAGAGAGAAAAGGAGACAGTATTTTGATAAACTACTTTTCTATTGCTAAAGATTTTTCATGCCTTCTTTTATGAGGTTCAGTAGAAAGTATAGAAGTAAAAAACACAAAAGATCATACAGTTCCTCTTAAGTTGGAATAAAATACATTCCAATCAAAGTTAAATGTTATCTAATAACATGCCTTCAGAGTCTACTCGCTCTCCTCTCCAGTACTCCAAAGGTTTCATTTTAATTCTTGTAGTACGACGAACACATGGCATTTTGTCAGGAAGGTCTATTTATGGATGTTCAACAAAAACAGAAGGAAATAAAGTTACATATTTTGGACGAGATGGAGCCACAACATCAGTTATTCCACACAGGTCTTCAAATATCTTCTTGAAAATTAATTTCTTCACTGTAAAGACAAGAACTTTGAAAGATTTAAGAACTCTGATACAGTGACCACCCATGATTCCAGAAAACTAATAATGAAACATGCTACTCATCATCTAACAAAGTGTAATGGACTTGGTACAGAATGAACAACGTATGTTCTGGACATGGCCAATGAGAGAATTTGCTTTCCTTTATGTATATTTGTTTCAAAGGTTTGGTTTTTTTTTCCCCTCAATTTTTTTTTGGGGGGGGGAATTATTTCTATTAATTGGAATAAGTTTAATTTTTAAATTATTAAAAATACAAAGAGAACAGAAGCGAGGCCAAAAACAATCACGGCCAAATAGCTTTGAAAGCAACAAACTAAACTTAACATATACTTAAAAAGAAAAGCAAGATGTAAGTAATAGAGATTTGGATTTTCCTGTATAATCTTCTTTTCGGAAATGGTGATTGTATTTCATGTTTGAATATAAAAAAATAGAAAAAAGAAAATTAATTGTTTTTATAGTTCCTCTTTGGTTTTGGTAGGCAGCTTCCTAAATATTTTATATATTCCATAGTTATTTTGAAAGAAATTTCTCTATTTCTTCTTGCTATTACAGGCAAAGGGAGTAATATATAGAAAGGCTGATAATTTGTATGGGTTTATTTTACATCCTGCTATTTTCCTTATATAAATTCTTTCCATTTTAGTGAATCTCACGATATCTATTTATCAGATCTTCTGCAAAAGTAAGAACCTTGTTTCCTCTTTGTGCTTATTCTTTCAATTTCTTTTTCGTGTTTTACTACTATAGCTACCATTTCCATAACAATGTTAAATAAAAATATGGACATCTTTGCTTTACCCTTCACCTTATCGAAAAAGCCTTTAGTTTATCTGCTCTCTAAAAATGCTAGCTCTTGATTTTAGATACTACTTACCATATTAAGAAAAGGTCCATTTATTCCCATGCTTTTGAGTAAGTGTTTTTCTCAGAAATTGCTATTATATGTTGTTAAAAGCTGTTCATACATCTATTAAGATCACCATGTGATTGTGATAATTTTTTGCTATTAATATGAAGGAAAAGAGGGTATCTTGGCATTTTAAACTACAGGAAAGAAAAAAAGTTTGGAAGGAAGTATAGAGAAGTAAGACAGCTTTGAAAATAAGAGGTTGAATTATATATTTGAAAGAAAAGGCAACCTGTATTATAAAGAAGATTCCCAGTTTCACATATCTTTTTTTATTCTGGAAATTTTCTTTATGTATTTTTTCAGACTAAAAATCAAATTAAAAAATAATTTTTACTGTAAAATAATAAATGCTGTCTGAACAGTAGACAGAGTATTAGACTTGGAGTCAGGGATAATAAATCAAGGGAAGGAAATCTTAAAGATAGAGTCAGGATACCCTACATTCAAATCATACCTTTAAGACTTCCTAGGTACATGGGCTTAGTCTAGTCATCAACTCTGCATATTAATTTCCATATTTGTAAAACGAGACAATAAGAATACCTGTAGTAACCAGCCAACAGGACTACTGTGAGGCTTAAATAAGATAATGTTCAAAAGCACTCTAGAACCTATAAGGTATTTTACAAATATTATGCATTCATCTAATGATTTCAGTGAAATTATTTCATATCCTATTATGTTATTAAAATTGTTTTGAGGGGCAGTTGGGTGGCGCAGTGGATAGAGCTCCAGCCTTGGTGTCAGGAGGACCTGAATTTAAATCCAGTCTCAGATATTTGACACTTATTAGCTGTGTGACAATGGGCAAGTCACTTTAACCCCAACTGCCTCACCAAAAAGCAAAAAAAAAAAATTTGTTTTGAATTTTTCATTGAATTTCTAATTAAGTAAATCACCAAACTGTCTATAGAGATAATTTTGACTCCTCTTCAACTATGATTATTCTCTTAATTTTACTGTCCTATTGTGATTCTAATACCATATCAAATAAAAATAAACATAATGAACACCCTTGCTTCAACATCATTTCTTAGAAGATATTTCATTACATTCATATGCCATAAATTATCTAGCCACTCCCCAACTAATGAGTACCTCCTTACTTTCTACTTCTTTAATAAAACAAAAAATGCTATGTTTGTGTGTATAAGGCCTTTTGTTGCTATGTTATCCGAGATATGTGCTTAGCAGTCAGTATCACTACATTAATGGGTATATACAGTTTAATGACTTTGGGGGAACAGTTCCAAAGTACTTTCCAAGATGGTTGGATCAATTCAAAGCTCCAGCAACAGTTCATTAGAGTTCTTGCCTGAACACCCACAAGAACTGTCATTAACCTTCTCTGTCATCATTGGTGATATTTAGGTGTGAAGTAAACACTCCAGAGTTATTTTAATTTTTATTTCTCTTATTAGTTATTTATAATACTTTTTTCTCCATAGTTATGTACAGCTTAGATTTCTTCCTTGGAAAGATGCATGTCCCAACCCCTGACCATATCTACTGGGGATTGGCTTTTGTTCTTATACATTAGTATGAATTCCCTATGTATCTCAGACATCAGAACTATTAGAAATACTAGCCAAAAATAGTTTTCCAGGTTAACTGTTTTCAAATCAACTACACTGATTTTGTTTGGGTAAAAACTCTTCAAGTTTATGTTTAAAACTATTTTACTTTTTTTACTCCATCCAACCTTTGCCCATTCATAGCTGTAAATTCTCCTTTAATTTGTTTATGGTAGACCCTTTTTATGTTTAGGACACGTATCCACTTTGGGGCTTATTGTTTTATATGGCATGATATGTTGACCTTATAATCCACTTTCTGAAGACAAAGTTTGTTTTGCTTGTGATTATTTGCTTACCAATTCTACTGTCCCTCTTAAACCCTTCTCTACTTTCTCCTTGTTGATGCCTATTTTTCTTTTGTTTAATAAAATGTTCAACACTCCTTTCTCTGATTTAAAGTGAGGTTCAAGAGATTCCTTAACCCTTCAATATCTTTTTGCATTTTGCCAAAGGGTAGACATATTCTTATTGACTACACCAATTATACAAGCACTAAGTTCCTTCTACTCCTTCCTCATTTCCTCCTTAGCATAAATAATCCTTTTTCTGTCACTTTTCTATCCTTTCTTAAATCTAGAAAACAACAAAAACACCCCATTCCTGCATTTATTTTCCTTGGTGGTCCTTTAACAACTGTGAGCTGGGAATACAAATACAAGCAAAAAGAAAGAAAAGTCTCTGCCTTCTAGGGGTTTGACAGTATATAAAAAAAAAGCTGAGAAGGGGAATGGGTAGAAGTTACCCTGTGAGAGTGCATGATGGAAAAATCCAGGGGAAATCAACCTGATGGAAAATGAAGAGATGGCTAGCCTAGGTGCCCTCCAAAATGGAGGTTGTGGAAGCATCCCGGTAATCAGAGGGAGGGGCCACAGAGACAGAGGGTATTTCCAAGGCGTGAGAACTAGGTCTGAAGTGGTCTTTCAGGATAAAAAGGTATTCTGGGTTATGGTAGAAAAGTCCAGAGAAATGTAGCCTAGTGGGAAATGAATCTATCTTTTCAATTTCCTCTTGCCTCCTATGTTTATGTTTTAAAGATTTTACCTTTTCTTGTCCTTTTATCAGTTATAGTCTAAAGTCCTTTTTTTTTTCTTTTTTGTAACTTCTGTAAGGTTATATTCAGTTTTTCAGGGTAAATTATTCTTGGTTGTAAACTATTTTCTTTTGCCTTTTGGAAATTACAATGCCAAGATTTTCTCTCCAATAAAGTCTTTACAACATAGCCTTGTGTGATCCTGACTGTGAACTCCACTTTCATTTGCTATGTGGTCCTAAATAGCTTCTGGGCAGTTTTCTTTTATGATTTCTTGAAATATGATACCTAGGTTTTTTGTTTGCTCATGGTTTCATTTTTAAATCATCCCTCCTTAGCCTATTTTCCTACATGATCTATTTTTAAAACAATATATATTTTACATTTTTTTGTCCCCCCCCCAATTTTTTAATATCTTTATTCCATTCTATTTTTCAGGGAGTCCAGAGCTTGTATAATAATTAGTTACCTTTTATTTCAAACTATTTAATCTCCTTTTACCTCTTTCTCAGAAATCTTAATTTCACTTGTTTCACTTTTTAAACTATTATTTCATTTCTTCTAACTACTTTTTTTTTTTTGGACTAGGCAATGTGGTTAAATGACTTGCCCTGGGTCACACAGCTAGAAAGTGTTACGTGTCTAAGGCTAGATCTGAACTCAGATCCTCCTGAATCCAGGGTCAGTGCTCTATCCACTGTGCCACCTAGCTGCCCCCTCTAACTAATTCTAGAGTTGTAACTGAGTCATGCTTTGTTCCGAGATTCTAGCAGTACTCGTTAACAGTTTCTCTTTTCTTCTGGTTTTATCTCAGTTGCTCAACACAAAGTATTTCTTAATTTTCTTCTGCTTACTCATGTATTAATAGTTATCAATGATTATCATTAAAATATTTGTATTTATTACTTATATTAATATATCATTAGATATGATTATAATAATAACTATCATTTATACAGCCCTTGTTATTTGCAAGCCACTATGCTAAGTGCTTTTCAACTATCATCTCATTTGATCCTCACAACAATCCTGGAAGGTAGGTGCTATTATTATCCCCACTTTATGGATGAGGAAACTGAGGCAAACAGAGGTTAAATGACTTGCCCGGGGTCATATAGGTAGTAAGTGTCTGACATTAGATTTAAACTCGGGTCTCTCTGACTCCAGGCCTAGTGTGCTATACCTTGTGCCACCTAACTGCCCATATTAAAACTAAGATGAGGACTTTGTACTCGGGCCAGACAATTCTCCCTCCTATAATCTTGGATGGGATGGAAAGTCTTGTTTGGTTCTGCTCTCTGTATAGTCTAGATGCCATTGGTGCTG